CCAAAACAAAAGTGAATGGCAAGGAGAGGAGGGAGGGAAGAGGAGGAGGAAGGAGGAGGAAGGAGAAAGGGCTGAGGGGAAAAGCTATGAGACCGGAACACGAGTAAAAGAAAGGATAGAGAAGGTGATGAGCAGCATAACAGAGGTTGCTTCTACATTGCACGCACACGCACACGCACACGCACACACACACACAGTCATACTGGCGGCTCATACCACCAGTCCATTCCTCTGTGTCACCCGAGGGAGGAGGATTGACCTGGCCTAGTCCAAATGCTGCCAGGAGGATTGGATGATCCTTCTTAGGCAGGGGTGTGCTGTGAAGCAAGCTAATGAGAGGCCAGTGTGTGTGTGTGTGTGTGTGTGTGTGTGTGTGTGTGTGTGTGTGTGCAGTCTGGCTTTGCTAAGGGGCTCTGGGTTCAGCCACCCAGGGCAATCTGCCCGGGGATGCTGGGTCACATGTGACCCCTTCAGACCCAGGGCCCCGGATTACTGTTCCCACTACCACCATTGTAAAAGGAGTGTACATGTTTCCAGGGGAAGAAAGTTGCTTGTTTGTGCATGTGCTCCAGCCACGCGCGTTTAATCTCCTTCATCCTAATCATCAGCACTTTTAACAATTACCAAAATCCCAAAGTCATTTCTAAAGCCTCGGGGACTGGGGGAGTAAATTAGTTCTTCAGCTAACCCCAGCATATTTACAACGACGCTTTATGGCTGTTATGATGTTGATGAATGTGCACGGCCCCTGCCAAATAAACTTATAATCGAGTGATAACATAATGAATGAATTCCGAGTGGAACAACAGTCCGTGACGCCTGCCAGTTTCCTCACCTCTCCCGTGTGTGTGTGTGTGCGCACATCTGCCCTCCTGTGTTTACCGTCTCGTTGTGCGTGCTTAATGCTCACTTGCAACAAAAGGACCACACACTTTTTACACATGTGTCTGACATAGAAGGGAGGGGGGGGGGGGGGTCAAGCCCCATGAGTCTTTTTTTAATGCAGGCATCTGTTGAGATCATGCAGCTGCGATAGATCTGTAACGTCACACACTGACTGCATACCTGTGTGTCCACCTACCAGCCTGCAATGCCCAAAGAAAGCACGGAATAAAGAAGAAAGATTCCAGCCTGTGGAGGGATTGGCTGCTTTTCCCCTGGCATTTCCATTCTGCAACATCAGCTCAAAGCTCTCTTCACAGCTCCTGTTGCTCTCAGCTCGTAAACTTACACACACTCCTCTTTTTCACCAAGAAAAGGGGGAGGTAGAAAGAGAAAGGGAGTTAGGGAGAAGGGGCTGCTTGTTTTAACAGGCAGCTTGGGCAATATGGTTCATATTCTTTCCTTCTCTTCATTACATTCCTTCTCTTGTTTTCCCTCACTCCCAAAATAAAAAAAATAATTGCCCGGTGGATATTCTCTAATCATTTAGCCCGAGGATGCGTGTAGGCTTACCAGACTCCTGCTTACTTATCCACACAGCCCAGAAAAAGCCTCGGTGCACTCGTGCATTATTCATGAAGAGGAAACCTACGGGTGGATCTTACGAGGATGAAACCGGGTGTGGAGTTTGAAACATACAAACAATCAATAAATGAGTGGAATGCTGCTCCTTTGATATGACACCCTGTTTGACCCACTAACACTCATTCCTCTCCCAGAATGCCCTCGCCAAGAAGATTTCCAGTGATTTTTTTTTTTTTTGGAAAGCCTTTCTCCGTTTTTTTTTTGTAGTTGAAACACTTAGCCCAGTTAGCTAGTCTTTTATCCGGCGCCAATTAGCCGGCGATTAATGAATTATTGAGAAACGGGAAGGGGGGGGGATTACATTTTAATGTGGATCTTAGGGGGAATAGTTGTATTACAAGTCACCGCGAGCGGCGAGCGAGGAGACGCCCACCCTCAGCAGCCGTTTACAATAATCTACAGCCGTTTACACAGTATGGAAAGAAAGGAAGAAAAAAAGAAGGGAAGTGTAAGCGATGGGAGGGGGTGAAAGAGAGGTTTTGGCCTTCAGAACAGAACTTGAAAAGGGGCCAAAAACTACAGAAGTCCATATGCTGTGATCAGAAGAGTCACCAAAGCCAACATTCACTCCACTTGAGTTCCCCTTCGTTGTGTGTGTCCACCAGTGTGACCTAGCGCCTCTGATCCAGTATGTGTGTGTGTGTGTGTGTTGGTCACCTGCACTCTACTACCACCCCCCCAAACTGAAGAGCAGTAATGCAAGATTCGATCTTTCATTAGGGCGGCTGTGTAAGGCTGATAATAGGAGATGCTGGATAAGGATAATGTATGTCCGGGGGGAGACTCTTCCCAAGGTGATCGTTCTGGTTCAGTTCTCTCTTCCTCAAGCAGAACCTGTATTGGCACTTGAGACTTAACTGCTATTGATTTACTTAGGGTTAGGACTGTCTCTCTCCCCGTGTTCCACATCCACCTCCTGGCACCTGTCTCTGTTTATACACCCCTCCGTCTCCTCTCTTTCAGGCGGTGCCGGATTAATTCCAACTGATGGAGCAGTCAATAAAAGGGTGGATTCAGCACTTGGATACTATATTTTATTTATGATGTATTCCAGGAATTCACCAGGGTCCTCTCCCTATTCACCTCTGTCGCTCCTAACACATCTCTGGGTACGTCACAGGCTGCTGTAGCGCTATAATTAGTGGCTGGATGTGACACATGTTTCCAATTTGCTACGTCTGGTCACTGCACTGGAGAGGGGGGAGTGACGGAGCGAGGTACAGATAGAGACAGATGGGAAGTGACAGGAGGGAGAAGAAAAAGAAGCCGGGAGAGAAGGAGGGCTTTGAGATGGAGGCATCACGAGAGAAATGGAAGAGGGAGAGAAGAGGTGGAGAGGAGGCGAGCTGCAGGTGGACGGTCTAAACTTCAAAGCAGAACATCCAGCCGAGGTGGAGAGGTTAACAATGTGACAGTCCATTTGCTTCACAGACAGGAAGTGAACCATACATGCGCTCCTGCACCTGATGGATACACACTACTGCTTCTGCTTGCTTTGCGCCTCATTTCAGGAGAACAACCACATGTGTGTGGGCTCTGGACTGTGTCCTTGGAAGATGCGCACTATTTGGACAAGCACGGGCTCTTAACATATTTCAGCCCAGGGCGAAGATTTAGCCCTGAGGCGGGCTCAAATTAAAAGCACAGCTCTCGTCATGTCGAGAAACAAGTGCATGGAAGTATGTAAAGGGAAATAAACTGGAGGAATGACTAAGCTGATTAACTATGAATAGTAAGCTTGGTGAATAAGCTGCACAATAGGCTTTGTATTTTGAATATATGAGTGAGCAAATCTGTGTGGATGACTATGGAGTCTGGCGTCAAAGCCACCACACCTATAATTGCCAGCCAGGCCCATTCACTAAGCCCTGACACCCACCTAGCACTAAACTCCATTAGGACACAATAGCGTGGAATCACCTGTAAGGCCACAAAAGCCCGAGCTGTTAGCTTCTCACTTAAAATTACCCTCCCGTGTCCAACTCTATACTCCCTGTTGGGCGAATCCACCCACTGCTGACAAAAAGCCCTCATTAAGGGCTTCATGCCTGGCTCCACAGCGGGGGCCCACGCACAGTCACATCTGTGGAGGGGAGAAACCGGGCAGGACATATAGCCTGCAGCACATGGATGCATTGAAAACCTGTTAGACTTAAAAAATAAAAAAGCCCCTGGCATGGGTGTGAGCCAGGGATGGCAGGGTTTACTAAGCTGCTACAGTTAGTGTACATTTGCTTTTGTTGGTTTTTTTGCATTTTAAGTGAGTCATGGAGGCAAAAGTTCAAAAAATGGGCGCTACTCCATACTCCTTAAAGCACAAAGCCTTATAATCTGGTTGCTTTTATTTAATAAGTGAAATGATTTGCAGAAATTAAGCCTGGTTTACTTTCTCTATGTTATGTTTTCTTATTCCTGCAACATTATGTCTTTGGCACTATTTGATGTCTTTCCTAATTATCTTAGGTATATTGCATTGTTGGAGGACACTTCAGATTTGAACTATATTGTAGATTTTGTGCACAAGACAAATTAGGCCTAGTGTCACTTTTACTACCTGGTTGCTATCATACTACTTTATACATTAAAACACTGTTACTGGTACTTTATGTTGTCCACTTGGATGTGTATTTTTGTAAATGTGTGTAATTTCTATTTTTTCTGTAATACTTTATGCATGCCTCCTAATATTTTTCTATTTTTGGCTCTTCACTTATTCTGAGTCTGACTTCAATCCCTCCCTTTCACTTGCATACATGCTACCTTGTTATTCTCCAATACCTCCCCCCCCACTCCCCTCAAATCTCCCTTCCACCAGGCGTCAATTCAGACACTGGGAAATTGGCAGAGGTGTGAGGAAAGTGTCGGTCGTTAAGCCCGGACGGCCGAGAGGTGTTTAAAATGACATTTCCTCAGCTAATGCCTGACACCTTCTCCAGAGGCAGGGGAGAAAAATGCAAATGCCACTCATTTGCACCTTGCAGTCAGAGGGGCCAGTGGGCCGGGGCCTGTAGACTTCCACCAAGGTCAGCCACTCAGCCAGCAGCAGCTATTAGAGCCCCATCACACCTCTTTATGATCCCACACAGTGCTGCTATGGCCGGCAGCTTACAAGGACTGTACCAACAACAGCATCCACAGCTGGATTATCCACTGTAATCAATGGGAGGGGGGCACATTCACAACAGCTGGGAAACTGATCACCCTGATTCATCTCAAGGTGTATACAGTTATCTAATTACACTTAAGATGAACACAATTGAAATAAATTGTGGGGAGAAAATAGTAGTGGATTCGCGTAATTATGTAACTTTATGTTGCTGTGTATGTCATATTTGCATTCAAAGGCCTAAATGTTACCTAAAGGCACGTTTAAAACATGCAATTACAGTAATTCTTCGATCACTTTTTTTTCTCTTTCTGCAAACTTCAAGTTGAAACTTGCATTTAAGCAGATTTTATGGAGAGCTCTCTACCTTTCGTTCAGTGAATTCCAGAAGATGGGCTCCATATTGCTGACCGTCGACCCCAGTAAATCCAGTAAGAGTATCAGCAGGAGTCCCAATCCATTCCCACTTCGTCGACACGCCATTTCAACCCTCGCACCAAGCATTTGTAGTCCCATTTAAAAAAAAGAAATGGTTTCTGTTTTCAATACTGTAGCAAAGGAGATCCTCAAAACAATGGATGTGCGACTACAAGCCGATCAGGTAGAGGCAGTCAGCGTGTGGAGTGAAAGACAACCTCGTGGATCCAAAATGTTACCAAATGTGGCTGAATTAAACCAAAAGCAGACAGGAGAAACTTGTTCAATCCGTGCGTCAGGATCTCCAAAAACGACGGTTTTTCTGCGCGTCCACGGTCGTACTATTTCAGTGCCGATCCCATGACTTTTCCATTAATTTCTCATTAGTCCTTTCTCCAAAGCAGTGCTCCTGAGCTCAAATATAACTCCACTGAATCGAATTTTCGGAAATGTACCGCCACCCAAGCGCTATTTCTGTTGCCTCTCGGTGCGCCCTAATTGTCTTTTTCCGAACAATGTTCCCTTGTTCTGTGTGCAGACTCTGTGTGATTTCTTTCCCATTACCTTGTTTTCCTCCAAAGATCAACCCTCCAACATATCAGGCTGAAGTGGGAAAGAAATAGTCAGTGTTTCAGGAGAAAACAGTCGAGATCCGAGCCAAAGGAACCAAACAATTGCTGTTTAAAACGGAAAAGATGCCACTCGTGTCCACAGCTCCATCCTCATAAAGACATGTTGATGCTCGCTGGGCTTTAGTCAGTGCGTAATGCAATCCTTATTCTGTAAAACACACACGGGTTGTAAATCCGAGAATCCTTCAGCATTCGTTGAGAATTAAAACAACAATAAGAGAGAAACAAAACCAAAGAGCTAGAAAAGCATCTCCACTCTCATAATTTCATGAAAACTTGTGAAGTGATTAAAAAAAACAAGAGTCCCGGTTTTGGAAATGGACGCCTATCTGCTGTTGCGCATCATTTGGATTCTTCTCATCCAAAGCATGCGTTATCTTCAGCCGTCTCTCTGCTCCACGATCCCACCGGTTTGACTGGCCCTAATGCTCGCAGCACATTGACAGACCGACTGGCTTGTTTGAGAGAAGGAGGAGGGAAAAAGGAGACGTGGATGAATGGGTAAAAATAATCCCCATCCTCTGACTGGCAGGCAGCGCGCACTGACGGAGCGCAATTCTTCCATGCTTTTTTCGAGGGGGGCGGTATCGAGTCCCTTTTTCAGCACCTCCTCCTCCTCTCTGAGTTTCAGGGGCCCCCCGACTCGGACCTCTGGACTCCCTGGCTCTCTATTCTGCCTCCTTTTTCTCAAACGCAGATGAAGACCCCCCCCCCCTCTCTCTGCTCACCAACGCCATGATGGAAGAGCAAGAGCGCCCTCAATGCATTTAGTGGGCATCACATGTGAATTGAAAACTGGAGAAAATATTATACACATTTCAAAAAGTCCCTATAGGAGTTTTAATAAAGATGAAATATGCCTCAAGGTGCAGTAAAGAATCATTACAGATGTATTGAAGGAATATTATGACTATATTTTAAAAGATAAAGTCCAATTAGACGCTAGGCATATTTTTGGATAGTATTGCTCACCATATATTATACCAGTGGCGGTTCTAGAGTAGGGGGGGGGGGTGTTATTTAATGAGAGATGGGGCACATTTAATGCGGGACAAAGACAGTGTTCAACATTTTTAGTTCAGTATATAGTCATAGCCCGAAAAAAAAAAAACTAAAATACCATGAGTGGGACTAACAGAGTTCGTGTCAATGACTTTTATTAAATTACATTATTGAAAAAAACATTCCTGTTATTTTAGTGCCAAGCCTACAGCCTACAATCTTTGCTGCAACACTTTCACAAATTGTTTTATCATAGATTTTCTTTTAGAGGGGGGCCACAGGTGGGTCCAAGCTCAGAATCAGAATCTGTATTCGTCCCACAGAGGGGACATTTACATTGTTACAGCAATTAAAGAGCCAAAGATAGCTTATTATAATTAAGAAGCATGCATAAAAATATAAAAAATAAAAGGTGGAAATTACTCGGTGTCAGAGGGGCACAAGCCCCTGTTGCCCCCCCCCCGCTAGAACCGCCTGAACAGGGGGAAAATGGAAGGTATTAATCGAAGGATCACTGGTTTGACCCTTCAGTAAATATGTGGTAGGATGTTAACCCTGAATTGCTATGTCTACAGTATGTAAATCACTTTGGATTAAAACGTCACCATAATGACATGTAATGTAAATACTCACTTGAAGGGAATGATGTCACGCCAAACTGGATTCACCTCATACGTCTTCAGGCCAGTCTAAACAAAAAGAACCCCCCCTCTCTCTCTGTGTGTGGGAGGATGTGGCCCTCGCTCTCTCTCTCTCTATCCGTCCCCTGTTGACAGCAGGGGGAAGAGTCCCAGCTTCAAAGTGGGCCCTTAGCTTGATGAGGTACAGGACGAGTCGGGTGACAGGCCCCACTGAGGGCCACACACACACCAATGTTTACACTGAGGCCCCCGGTTGGCCAAGCACACTGACACTGATTCACTTATACAATGTTACACACCCACACAGAAACATGTAGAAGGTGGGGAATGGAGGAGGAGTGTCAAAACTGTGGCTGTACTGCCCCCATGTGGTGGATGGAGTGCACAATAGGTCAGAGGGATGTGTACCCTGACAGACCTCTAACCACATTTTGTCCTACAATGCTGAAGATACTCTCCATCCATCCCACACTTCTGAGGTCTTATTGTTATTATTATACTTTTTAGAGCTGCACCTGAAGAATTACACCTGAGAGACCGATTGCTTTTAAATCAATTTGCACAATAGCTACAGTGGTGGAAATAAAAATCCCAGGCTCCCCAAAAGTGCAACATGCTGTACAATAAGACATTAAATAGTGCAAGTAAATTGTGATGTGAGTAGAATGCAAAGTATTGTGCTGGAAATCAAACCTATACACAATAACTGGGACACAAACTTATGTCACTTTTTACTTCAAAATAAAAGCTTCAAATATATTTTGATGCTTCAATGACTTGTAAACTGGAGAATTGCCTCTCTTAAAACACTTGCACTTAATACGTTTGGTGAGCAGGTTGTATAATCTTCTGGGGAAAGTGTGTAAGGCTTTACGACGCCAATTGCTATTGTATTGCATTATGGGAAACGTAGGATCCAGCGTTTTTGGAGTTAGACCAACTTTAGAAGCTAAAAGTCAGTATCTCAGCATGAAAGCTGCAACACGACATACTTCCAGAAACATACGGGGGGAGAGAAACAGAGAGGATGATACCTTTAATTGAAAATATTTCACAGCTAAAGAGGAAACACTGGAAAGACCACGAACATCTCCTGCTGTTCCTGCACAGCCAGGGAGAGAAAGGACATTTATTTTTTTATTTAGCCTTTATTTATACAGGTGTAAAATCTCATTGAGACACAAGGTCTCATTTCCAAGAGAGACCTGTCAGTGGTAACACTACCACACAAAGTTACAGACAGACAGGACACTAAACACAGAGGCAACAATAAAATACAACATCGTAAAAAAAGTAGTCATTGAAATCCATATAAAGTAGTCAGTTAAAGCAGGTGCAAACACCCACAGATGATTTCTCCAGCTTTTTTTAAATTAGTTTAAAATCCGTGATGGGTATCAAACTGGTCAGCTTAAGTTCCTGCTGAAGTGTGTTCCAGGTCGAGGGGGCAGAGTATGATATGGCTTTTTTTCCAAGCACCGTGCGAACTGAGGGGACGGACAGAGTGATGTAATGTTGAGATCGTAGGCTATAGCTGTACTGTTTGTGTGATATGTAAGTGGATATGTAGAGGGGCAGCAGTCCAAGCATAGCGATATAGATGAGTTTGTACCAGTGCAGTGATCTGCGCATTGATAATGATGTCCAGTTGACTAAAGAGTACAGCGTGCAATGGTGTGTGAGGGAAATGGAAGTGAGACAGCAAAAAGAAAATGGAGGTGGGGAGCAAAGATGATTAAGATCTGCAGGGGAGGAAGTCCTGAAACTGGCAAATATGTAGTGTCTTGCTCAAGGGCAGGAATGTCCTCTGCTATGCAAAGTAGAGCATGCTTTCACCGAGAACTGTAATTGCAGGTTATGAGATCCAAACAAGAAACGAATCGATTTTTAAGAGATGGTCAGAGAAGGAGAAGCGAGCAGAGATGGAGCTGTTGTGCTGACCTCTTGAAAGCTTGGCAGGGCGGACGACAGAGCTAAATGTAGTGGTGGAAGACGGCGTGATTTAGAGACAACAGGAGTTCAGAGGTGAAGCTGGCATGAAAAACAGACCTTCTGCTCTGTCTGGGAATCCATCCGTGCGGGGTAAACTGGCTGCTTTCAGGTTCTCTCTCGCATTTCTGTGCGTCAAACATGAGTCAGTTTCGAAAATGGTTAAGCTATAAGATACCACCTACATCAGATAGTGCTAATGTACCTTCCAGGGTGGTGTTTGACGATGTGTTTGCATGCTTTATGCACACCCGTAGCTGTATGTCAGTGTTTATTGGTGCTTATTTATTCATGCTGACCTCATTTACTGCACCGACCTTCAACTCTTCTTCATAACCGCATCCTCTCCCTGGTGGCTGCAGTCTGCTCCAGCTGCCAGACCTCGACAACACACACACACACACAAAATGTTCTATAAATACATACATGCATAACACTTTCACACAGCATGTATAGCTGCAAACATAAGCAATTACAGTCAGTGCACGGGGAACATTATGCATGTGGTGGTAAGGTTAAGGATACACACATGCACGCACACACAGACACCCATGGTGGCAGGAGCACAAAGACCCCTAGACAGGAAAACATATACCCTGGTGGGAGTGAAATTCACACCGAGGGGGGTGCACGGATGTGTGTGGAGCTTGGCACCCTCGCCGATAGATCTCAGCTGCACGTTATCCTTCAGAATCTTCCACACACACACCTCTGCTGCCAACACACACCGTCATATCTTCCTGTGACAGAGAAGACGGGGGCAGGGGGATTTAATGAGTGGAGGTGAGGGGTTGTGTAACGTGTGATGTGCAGATCACACGTACACATCGTACAGAGCGACTCGCTGATTCTGTGCCAGTAAACAATTTGTACCTGACAGTTGATCTCACACACACACCTACATGCATTTACATACTGTGTGATTGCTATTCAGTGTGAGAGGACTTCCTTCCTGATTTACCATTCGCAACATTACACTGTGTGACTTGTAGGCAGGCTTGGGAAGATGTCTTCAAATGTATTCCTTTACAGTTATACAAAATATATATAATCAGATTACTGGTACATCTTTTCAAATGGGAATTATTAGCAGGATTACAATGTTCCAATGCATTTTACTATAGAGAATTATATATTATAGGTAGACGTACTGTCTGAATGATCTTTTTGCTTTTCATTTAGGCTACTTTCATTTATTTTTTTAATGCAGTAAGTGGACACCTGATTTATTAAACAAAAATACTGTGTTTGCTTTCAATTCATGTGTTGAACTAAAACAGCATTTTTAAACTTTCTGTAAACCTAGTCTAAAATGTAAGAGGACACATTTTGTATCCTAAATATTGAGGAATTTGATATTGAGGAAATCCAAAAGAAACATCAAGTTATCAGGTAACATTACTTGTTTTATACTGTGACTATGTTACTGATGACTTCACTACTTAACCCAGGTTACTAGTATTTGTGACAGATTACATTTTTTAAAGTAACCCTTCCAACCCTGCTTGTAGGTGCAGTTTAAAATCTGTTTCTGTAGGTACTGGACAGAAATCTTCTGTACAGGAAATGATTGCAAATCAACCTACCTTATTGTGCTAATAATAACACATTTAGAAACCCAGTTTAGTGATTCATCATATTTCATGTTTTTGGCTTGCAAAAAAAGTGTCTATTTTCTCCTCTAAGCCTCTGTGTTCCTTTTATCTCTGTAATTTGTAGATGCCTAAAGAGACCAAAACCATCCAGCGTTTCACTAGAAAAGCCAAAATTAGAGGAATTAAAGTCAGATAAATGGTCTAAATTGAATTAGCAACACAATACCCAATTCAAAAACTGGATTCAGTATAGTATTAACTGTAATCCTTGTATC